TGGAATTTTGTTTTCGCAAAGACGTGGCAATATACATTTTGGTGTAAATTTATGATGAAATTAAATTTTTCAAATTTTTTTACTGGACATATTTATTAGTAAAAAGTAAAAATATAGTTTTTTTTTTTTTCCCTCAAAATTGACTGTCTTTTTTTTTGTTTATATCGCAAAAAATAACACACAGGCGATCAAATACCACCGAAAGAAAGCTCAATTTGTGAGGAAAAAAGGACGTAAATTTAATTTGGGTGTAGTGTTGCATGACCGCGCAATCGTCAGTTAAGGTAACGCAGCATCGTAATGCAAACAATGCCCTGGTCAGGAAGAGGGGTAAATATTCAGTAGGGCAAATAGTTAACTAACAGATGTGCCCACTGGGATCGCTGTGTAAACTGTATGTAGCATCATTTGCATACAGTATACAGCGTTGTGTTTCTGCAGCAGGAGGGGAACTTCACAGACAGCTCAGCCATTCACATATTTTATGAATGAATGAATACACGGTTTCCTCTGATTGGCTGAAGTGGAGAGGTGATTGGATGATGTCATGTTCTTCAGCCAACTACAGGAAGACTTGTATTCCTAAAATAAAAGGCTTCCTGTGAATGGCCGAGCAGCGATCATTTCAGTTTGGTTTTGTTCCAAGAACAGGGCAGAAATCTCTGTCCGCTGCCGAAACACATCACTGTATACTGTATGTATCCTCAGGAGGTTGATAAGGGACCTGCTATATGAACATAATAAAGTGCTTCCACTCTAGTTCATTATTAATATATAAGCAGCTTTTATTGTGAGTTGTATATTATAGGTGATAGAAATTTGTAAAGGTGTGGATTTTTAACTACATTATATTGATTTATTCTGGATTTTTTTTCTATAGGAATTTGTGTGGAATTTCTTTGTTGCCCCCCTGTGGATGCACCTATGGAGAGAATTACTGCCTGTCTGCAGGCTATGAAAGCACTTTTTGGTGTCTCCTGGCCACGAGCTCACATAGGGGCTGATCCGGTAAATACTAGATCCACCACTTCATGAATATTACGTGGTGCATTTGTACAATACAATAGTGTACACTGGTGCTGGAATATGTAGCAAACAAATCTTTCACTAACATTTACCTATTTTGTATACATGAAGGGTAATGCATAGCTTCTTTCAATTGATACCATTTTTTTTGCACTGTGCTGTTAGACAAATCCTAATATTTTAGGTAAGTGGCTGAAAGCTGCAGAAGAGTAGTGTGCATTTTGTCAAAAAGTCAAGCTATGCATATTGTTTTCTTTTCGAAGAGCCAATTTATATGACCTGTTTCTCGATGCTGCAAAATGTAATAGTTTATTAAACTAGTTCAGTGAGTTCAGCTTATATTTTACTGCTTTGTGTCCACCAGGAACTTGCTTTTGAATTAGTCTCTGTGCTACATCGACTGCTGCTCATGAGGGAGTCCTCGGAAGTGCAACTTTTGGCACTGGAGGTTGGAAGACAGATTCTGGGTGCATCTCAAGAGCATGTGCAGGAGAGGAGGAGGAGTGCAGAAGGTAGGGGATATATAAAAATTAGTAATAAGTGTGATGGTACAAGGTGGGAAAATGGAATGTTATATGTAAATTCTGTCACAATAGAAACCTGCAGTCTGCCATTGTTGACCTCTCCTTCTGAAATTGTCTTCATCGATACCCATCTTTCTTCAATGCTTTTCGTTATGGACTTAAAAAGTATGTAGATAGGGAGTGTTGGATCTGCATACTTGTTATTGGTCAAAGACTCAAAAGGATTGAAGCTAGTGGATCAGCATAATTGTCAACCCTTGTTTTTTTTCAACAATAGATGTTTAATGTTAAAAAGCTCAATGAAGATGTGTTCACCTTATTCTGGAGTGGTACGGGGATTGTGTCTTGTACCTGAAATGCTACATATCCAAATGTAACATTCCCAAAACACATGTTCTTGAACATGGCTATTCGGTATTGCTGGGTGCTGTAGTGACCACAGGCTGGAAACCGTAGACAATCAAGTGAAGAAATGTCACCAGCACACCAAGGATTCCTCAAGATGGGTCCTAAGCTTTATTTTGTGGTCACATGGTAAACACAAGGCAACGAATTGGAGCCACGCAGGGTCCCTTCTTCAAACAAGTGCCTGATGAAGGGGACCGGCACAGCTCCAAAACATTGCTTGCGTTTACCATGTGACCACGAAATATAGCTTTGGACCCATCTTGAGGAATCCTTGGTGTGCTGGTGACATTTCTTCACTTGAAATGCTATATAGACTATATTAAGTGCATTCAAAGTATTCAACAATCTATGTGTACTGACAACAAAATTATTTTCCTGACACAAAGCCAACCTGTGTTCAGGATGTTGTGAGCTCATTTCCACCACTGGACAAAGGCAGATGTTTTCATTGTATCTAATATGTATCACATCCCAAGTACACTCCTGTCCAGATTAAAAATGTATCTTCTGAAGGCTTTTTGTTTCAGCCTGATATTGCTTACCCTTGTACATCTTAATGTCTAAATACTCTGGTTGACCATAACCTAATCTATAATCTATGATTCTTTTCTGAGTTTTCTTGAAATCACTTCCTTAATCATTTAGATGGATTGTAATCCACCACTGCATCATCACAATTGTAGTCTGTGAAATTCCTGATTTGCAGGAAAATGTACAGTGCTGTGCAAAAGTCTTAGGTAGGTGTGAAAAAATGCTGTAAATTAAGAATGCTTTCAGAAATAGAAGTGTTAATCGTTCATTTAATCAAGTAACAAAATGGAAAGTAATTTAACAGAAGAGAAATCCAAATCAAATCAGTTTGTGGTGTGACCACCCTTTAACTTCAAAACAACATCAATTCTTCTAGGTATACTGGAACACAATTTTTGAAGGAACATAGCAGGTAGGTTGTTCCAAACATCCTGGAGAACTGAGCACAGATTTTCAAATTTTGACTCATCAGTCCAGAGCACATGCTGCTATTTTTCTGCACTCCAGTTCCTATGTTTTAGTGCTTAGGTGAGTCGTCAAGACTTGTTTCCATGTCCTGTGCATGAAAACCTAGGATCTGGAGTGCAGAAAAATGACAGCAGCTGCTTTGGACTGATGAGTCAAAATATGAAATATTTGGATGTATCAGGAGACAGTTTGTTTGCAAAGGCCTGGAGAGCAGTGCACTAATGGGTTTCTGCAGGCAACAGTGAAGCATGGTTCCTTGCAAGTTTGGGGCTGCATTTCAGCAGATGGAGTTGAAGATTTGGTCAGGCTCAGTGGTGTCCTCAGTGTTGAGAAATACAGGTAGATACTTATCCATCATGCCATACCCTCAGGATGGTATGTGATTGGCCCCAAATTTATTCTGCAGCAGGAAAACCACCCCAAACATGCAGCCAATGTCATTAAGAACTATTGTCGGCATATAGAAAAACAAGGAGTCCTGGAAGTGATGGTTTTACCCCCACAAAGCCCTGATTTCAACATCCATTGAGTCTGTCTGGGACTACTAATCACTGCCACCCACTATCGGTGTCCCTGATGACCTCCACAACAGTGATATTTTCCCTGATTACCGCAACACCAGATATAGTGTCCCTGATCACCGCCACATCAGTGATATTGTCCCTTATCACTGCCCCAACAGTGATATTGTCCCTGATCACTGCTACACCAGTCCCAGTGTCCCTAATCACCGACACACCAGTTACCGTGTCCCTGATCGCTGCCACTTTCAGTCCCAGTGTCACCAGACCAGTATATGTCAATAACAGTGTTTCCTATCACCACCACACCAGTGTATGCCAGCAATGGAGTCCCTTATTGTTGCTATACCAGTTCCAGTGTCATCAGACCAGTGTAGGCCAGCATGATTGTTCTTTATCACCAACACATCAGTGTAGCCAGCAATGGTGTTCGTGATTTTCGTCACACCAGTGCAGTGTTGCCTGTGCCTGCCACCTGTAAATAACCCTGGCCTGTTTATTGATCTTGTTTTCTGCTTATTGCCTGGACCAATCCTTTGCCTTTTGGCTTACCATGTTTCTGCCTGCAGTTTAAACTGACCCATCTGCACATCTGACAGACTATGTTCCAGCAAGGCACCAGTCCTAACCATCCCTTGTGGACAACTGCACACCTGGAACCACAGGAACTCTCTTGTTCTTATTTTCTTTAGCCTCCTGTGCTTCAAGACCAGTAAACATTGCATTCCTGAGGGCAGCCATGTACCAGTAGGCTAGGCTTGCTGGGCTTAGCGGAACTGGGATTGCTATAGGTGACGCTACGCTGAGCTATTTTCCTTGACCACTCTTGTGGAGGTGACTATTACAGTACATTGTTTTTGATACGATTGGTTGATTTGTGTGATACACAAGAGAAAATGATCAGTACATAATCAGTCCAGACACTGAAAAGTCTCACACATGTAGTACCCCCATACTCGAAAGGAGTAGCAGCATGTGTTTTGGATTGTCAACTTTAATCAAAGCTGTATAGCTGTATAGACACTCATTATCCGCATAAACAGGTTTTTGGTAAACGTGGACTAACCCTTTAAGGTGTTTGCTCTCCAAAATGGGGCCATTTTTGGGTGTTTTTACTGTCCTGGTGCTCCAGGGCCTAACAAAAATGTGATAGGTAATCCAGAAATTATATGTGTAATTTATACTCCTTGAAAGCTCAAAGGTGCTCCTTGGATTGTGACCCCTCTAGGCTAAGCTGTAAAAAAGTCTCCCATGTGGAATCCCCAAACGTAGGAGGCATAGCAGAATGTGTTTCTGGGTGTAATTATAAGTATTGCCAGGGCTGTGTTTGAGAAATACCTTTTATTTAACTTCATTTTCCCCAAAAAAGTGACAAAAACAACTTCAAAAAACTTACTATGCCTCTTACTAAATACCCTGTACTGTCTACTTCCCCAGAAAGGGGTCCTTTGGGGGTATTTGTAATGTCCTGGCATTATTGGGCCTCAATAAATGAGATAGACCAGCATTACATCAGGACTGATCATTTTTCAAATATATATATATATACAGTTGCAAGAAAAAGTATGTGAACCCCTTGGGATTACGTGGCGTTTTGCATGAATTGGGCATAAAATGTGCTCTGAATGTCATTTAAGTCACAGCAATAGAAGAACACAGTCTGCTGAACATAATACTACACAAACATTAGATGTTGCCATGGTTTAATTGCACAGTGCAGGGAGGAAAAAGTATGTGAGGCCCTAGCTTAATGACTTCTCCCAGAGCTAATTGGAGCCAGGAGTGAGACAACCTTGACTCCAATCAGTGTGATGATATTGGATGTGTTGCTGACAGCTGTCCTGCCCTTAAAAAAAACACACACCTGTTTTGGGTTTACTGGTTTCAAGAAGCACTGTCTGATGTGAACCATGCCTCGCAGAAAAGAGCTCTCAGAAGACCTACGATCAAGAATTGTTGACTTGCATGAAGCTGGAAAGGGTTACAAAAGTATCTCCAAAAGCCTTGATGTTCATGTGTCCACGGTAAGACAGACTGTCTACAAATGGAGAAAGTTTAGCACTGTTGCTACTCTCTCTAGGCATGGTCGTCCTGTAAAAATGACTGCAAGAGCACAGCGCAGAATGCTGCATGAGGTAAAGAAGAATCCCAGAGTGTCAGCTAAAGACCTACAGAAATCTCTGGCACATGCTAACATTTTTGTTGACACATCTACAATAAGGAAAACATTAAACAAGAATGGAGTACATGGGAGGACACCACAGAGGAAGCCATTGCTGTCCAAAAAGAATATTGCAGCACGTTTGAAGTTTGCAAAAGAGCATCTGGATGTTCCACAGCACTACTGGCAAAATATACTGTGGACAGATGGAACCAAGATTGAGTTGTTTGGGAAGAACACACAACACTATGTGTGGAGAAAAAAAGCCACAGCACACCAACATCAAAACCTCATCCCCACTGTAAAACATGGCGGAGGGAGCATCATGGTTTGGGGCTGCTTTGCTGCCTCAGGGCCTGGACGGATTGTTGTCATTGATGGGAAAATGAATTCCAGAGTTTATCAAGACATTTTACAGGAAAACGTACGACCATCTGTCCGCCAACTGAAGCTCCGCAGAGGATGGGTGATGCAACAGGACAATGACCCAAAGCATACAAGTAATTCAACAAAACAATGGCTGCAACAGCACAGAATACGCCTTCTGGAGTGGCCCAGTCAGAGTCCTGACCTCAACCCGATTGAAATGCTGTGGCATGACCTTAAGAGAGCGATTCACACCAGACATCCCAAGAAGATTTTTACACGGAAACAGTTTTGTGCAGAGGAGTGGGCCAAAATTACTCCAGATCGTTGTGCAGGTCTGATCTGCAACTACAGGAAACGTTTGGTTGAGGTTATTGCTGCCAAAGGAGGGTCAACCAGTTATTAAGTCCAAAGGTTCACATACTTTTTCCTCCCCGCACTGTGAATGTTTACATGTTATGTGCAATTAAACCATGGCAACATCTAATGTTTGTGTAGTATTATGTTCAGCAGACTGTGTTCTTCTATTGTTGTGACTTAGATGACGTTCAGAGCACATTTTATGCCCAATTCATGCAAAACTCCACTTAATCCCAAGGGGTTCACATACTTTTTCTTGCAACTGTATACATACACACACCATAGCTTGTAGACTATACACTGATTTGGGTTAATGGTACCAAAGAAGTGCAGCATAATACATTTTGGCCTAAAGTTTTGAAGAAAGATTATTATTTATTTGCAAAGTTTTATATGGAAAAAAAATTGTGTTTTTTCTTTTTTTTATTGGTATTTTTTCACTTATACAACAAAAAAGTGATGATTAAATACCAACAAAAGAAAGCTCTGTCTCAAAATTAAACGATAAAAAAATTATTTTACAAAAGGTTTTATTAATGTTCAGTTAAACAGACAGAACCATCAATAGGACAGTAACAATCAATTTGAAATAATTGTAAGGATAAATGGCACATTAACCAATATACACATCTGTTCAGTATGGAAATCAATAATACTGGCTAATGCTTAAGTGTTGAGAATATTGTGATCTCAAGTTATAAATGAAGTGATACTTATGCATAAACTGTAGAATATTATGCAGAGGGCATAAACCATTTGTGTAAATAAAGGTTACCAGGCAGTCTCATTAACTCAAAAGATAAAGAGGTGAGTGGAAAGAAAAGGAAGAACAAAAGCTGGAGAAGGCAAGAAGGAGGCTTGGGGTCCCGCAACACAAGACTATTAAATCGACAAAAGAGTATTATCAAATTGGGATGGCTGAGCATGAAGATCTTATAAGAATTTTCCAATATAAGTACATTTTTAGAGCTCTTGGATATCGCCAAAGTCATGATCTGCCAGTCCTCTGGGTCTAGCCATTTCCCAAGTTTTCCTTCCCATTGAAGATGGTATGGTCTCAGTGAAGGTTTTTTGGGTTGAGGAATAAGATCAGTGAAAGAGTGAGGTTGTGACCTACAAAAACTTTTAAATGGGGTTAGTGTATAGGGAGTAGGCTGGGATCTAAGGAGTTGGCATATAAAGTGGCAAAGTTGAAGATACCTGTAATGCTCCCGTAGCAGGATGTCATGTGACAATCTAAGGGCATCATCAGTTTTAGGGGCCTGGTTGGGGTAAGAAGAGAAAGTATGGCAAAAAGCCCATGGTCAGTCCACGAAGAGAACTGTCTCGGGATATCAACTCCCAGAGGAACAAAGGGCATCGAAGGATATGCAACAGTGAAAAATGAGGCGAGAACAAGCCTGCTGAGAATTTGACCAAGTCCCACATTTGGAGGGTGTGGCGCAAGATTGGGTTAAGTGTCGTGGGGTGGGGCACGGGAAACCAAGCCAAAGAAGATAGAGGTATGGGGTGAGTCCACAAGATCTATAGTGGCCCATAGTGGAAGATGGTAAATGAGACAAAGGTGCAATAGTGGCTGCTAAATAGTAGGCCTGGAGGTTTGGGAACGGGGTGAAAGTGTCTGGTCCTGAAGTAATTAAGGACAACTATAGTCTTTCATGGGAATTGCTCTTTAAGCTTTACTTTGTAACAGAATATTATACTATTTGTTAATGACGCTCATAAAAGGGGTCTCTGAGAAGCAGAGTATTTGCTCATTAGTAGCCACTTAACTACCATATTTACCACTGACACTATAAGTTTAATTAATGAGGATGAACTTTGAGCATACTATTCATTCTCAGTTGATGCACTCCTGTAAAAATTGCTGTTATTATCACGTGGGAAAAAACAGAACTGAAGGGCATGTTGCTGGTATCACATCTATTCAGTTGTCCTGTTCCTAATTGTTTCATTCCCCCTTTTTGTAGTTGATGATGGAGCCGAAGAAAAGGAGACCTTGCCAGAGTTTGGAGAGGGACATGACACTGGTGGCCTGATTCCTGGTCATTCCCTGGTTCTAGCTACTTTGGAACTGTGCCTCTGTATTCTCATCAGGCAACTTCCCCAGCTCAGTCCCCGTCTGACTGGGAACTCATCAGGAAATAATGGAGCAAAGCAAATTCTGTCACATGAAGCCAGCCTGTTGGTTTCAGCTTCTCTGGGGATTCTAGCAGAGCTGCCTTCCCTCTGTTCTCCAGGAGGTGAGAAAAAAAAACAAATTTGGGTCTGATGATACTGCACAGTTTGATGTCTGTGTTGTCTGCAGTTTTGTTTTGTGAAGCAGTGTTCATGCTACAAAAACATCTGACAGTGTACTGCTAACCATTGTAGGGCCTGTTCACATGGGCTTTAAAAGGTGGTGTTTGTTAAGCATTTGGGAAGCACCAAAAACACTTCCCAAATACTTTGCATAGTATTGCTAATGAAAGCATATATGGTGTTATAAATTTGCATTGGAGATAAGCACTTGCATTGCTTTACGTTGGTGCTTTTATGTGGACTTTGCAAGCAACATACAAGTGTTGAAGCGTGTGGACACTTTCTAGCACCTGTAGTTGATGTTAATGGAAATACTCTTCAATGCCTGTATAGTACCTGAGAATCATCTGATGTCCTTGTTTTTCTATGATTGTGAGAGTAAACGTTAAGATAACCAGATGCTATTAAGGAACAAAAAGGCCCATGCTATATCACATTGAAAATGTAAACAGCAAAAAGGCAACCCTATTCTAACAAATATAAAAACCAAAGTGCATGCTGATGGTCATCTAAATAGGCCACTTGACCTCTTCTGTTTTGTCACTGTACAGTGAAAGGCCTTGCAGTCTAGTGGTAAATGTATAGTTCTACAGACTTTTATAATTGCCACCTAGGTGCAATTTTGTATTTGTAGAATGAATGTAGATGTACCTTGTGTTAGATGGCTACCTTGCAACTGGGCTGTTTCCTAAATATTGGTGTAAAGAAGGATTTTTAATTTGTTTCTTATTATTAACATGACATCTTTGTTAGTGGCTAATGGGGAGCAAAGGTCTGTTGTTACTTCAGATCCATACAGCTTTGGGTCCCTCATATGGGTCAAACCCTACCACCAAAGAACAACCTAAAATAAATTCTTATTCTCCTGATGATCGCAGTGATACCATATATGTTAGTTGTTGTTTGTACCTGTAGTAAGTCCTACAAACAATAGTGTGCATCTTGCTTTTTTTTATTTTATCCTACCTAAAATACACTGACACTAATTGAGGCTGATACTAATTTAAAAAATTTTTTTTTTAAATCCTGCCCAAAATACCCTGACCATGACCTTTGACCATTACACACTAATCCTGGCACTAACCTTGATCTAGTTTTTTTTTTTTTAATGTTTTACACAGTTGTTTATTTTTCTCTCTTCTCACTATTAACAGAGGGGCGAGCTTCACAGTAACTAATCACAGAGGTTATTACAGCAATCAGGTGACCTGGGACGAGGAGTTCCGAGTCCCAGTTGTTCATACAGGACCCATGGCTCCCTGTCAGACCCTGGTCTCTATGCTGGGAGTGCGCTGTGAGCTGCACACCCAGCACAAAGACAGGTATGCATATATGCGGCCCCTTAGAAAAAAAGCAATCCAGTGGGGCCACATACATGTGTACACTCAGGAGTTATTAGTAATTTCAACCAAAACTGTTTTTGTTGAAACTGAGAAGTGCTAGAATCCCTCTCAAGCTTTTATTGCTTTCTCACTCTCTCAGTTAGGGAGATTTCCAGACCACAAAAATATTTTTAAAACATTTCCTCTGTTAAGTGGAGCTGGAGAGCGTTAAGCTAGACATACACTGATGTAAATTTGGCCAGTTCAGCAAGGACCAGTCGAAGTTGATGAAACAATCAACTGTTGAGCAGTGACTGACACACACTGTTGGTTCATCTGGTTCCTGCTTACTGCTTAACTGGCCACATTTTGATCAGGGACATGATGGAAATGTTTTTATCATCTGCGGTCAGAATACATTGTCCCAGTGACCACCCCATTGGTATGGATGAAGAAACTTTTCTTTTTTTTTTGGGCTGAACAAAAATCAATATCGCTTCCTGTCCAGTGATTCCCGCTCTCCTTTTCGATTTCCATTCATTTCCTGTCCCTGGCTTGGTGTGGCAGGAACAGGAAATTAATTCAAATCCACCCAATGTTTAGACATCGATAAATGTTTGATGGAAGTTCTAAATCTTTATTTTTTATTTTACTCAGGATTTTCTAACACTACTACACTACATTGTTTGCTTCATTATTACTAATCTCCCTCATTTAGGAAGTGTTTCAATCCTGCCCACTCTGCTATACCTGGTAGTGGGGGTCCTTCAACACACGGCTGAGAAACTCCAAGATGGTAGATTACCTCTGACAGTCACCTCTGCCTTGCAAGCTCTGAAGGTTATTGTTTCTTCTCCTATGTCAAGAGTAGAGAAAACCAGGGCATCATGGTCCAGTCTTCTACACAGTTCTGCTTCTTCCATGCTTCAGTCCTGGGATTCGGGTATGTCTTTTTCTGGTCATGACAAAAAGTCTCATCTCTTGAATTTTGACACTCGTAACAGATTTCTTCTTAATTTGTAATTTGTGTAGATCAAGAGAAGGACCAAATAGGCCTGCTGACTGCTCTTACCATATTCCTACTGTCAGCTAATCCGGAGGTGTTAGCAGAGCCAAGAATCCAGGCTGGCTGCTTACAGAGATTTCACAGCTGTATTGACAGCAAGGATGCAAACGTAAGGTGTTATATGTGCTGGATCCTATAGAAAAGGAGACCTGTAATAACGTAAAGAAAAAAAACATCTCAAAACCTTTGAAATAATTATATTAAACGTCTCTAATGTATAGTAGTTTTAGAATCAGTAATTTATATTTTTGAACATGTTGGAGTTTTTTTTCATGCCTTCTAAAGTGCCACTTTGCTAGCATTTTCAAGTAAAGGTGCACAGTAATGTTTTGTTAGACAACTGCATTGCTAGCTTTGGAGAATACCCCTCCTGTATTCTAAGACATGACTTAGCATGATCCTTTCCTTTATATGTATCTAGGTTTCATATAGCTGTGGTATATTTATAATCTGAGGCTTCACTCTCTGGTTAGGTGAAGCAACAATATAACTTAGTTAAGCTCAGGCAAAAGTGAATGTATGAATTACAGCAGTGCTCTTGTTTCAGTGATCAGCCATTGCAGAATCCCACATTGTGTCCATATGATTTATGGGAATCTGTCATCGTGACCACATAAACCCTCTGAAAACACGCTTTTGTTCATGAGTCTCTGCGACTCAAGCAGAAATCTAGTTCTCAGGTAGTGAAGCTGAGCTGGCATGTGGCATGGGAGAAAAAATGCTTACATGAGGTTGAAAGCTACTTTCCTACTGAATAGATTTGAGCAGTCTATTTTTTGTAGACCTCTGTTGTACAGTCTCAAATGGGGCAATTATTTAAAAAATCTGCATTTTTTTCACTTTCGTTAAAAGAGATCTAAACCCAGGAACAAAAATGTAATATATTGCAGCTCAACTGTCCTTAGATGTGGTGGCTGCATTAATTTTCCTTTTTAAGGCTAAATACATTTTCTGCAAGTACGGAAAATAAAATACCTGTGATTTCTCTCTAAAACTCCTGCGGAGTAAACTGAAATCTGAAAACAATGTTATTAACTTTCTCAGCTATCTGTCAACTGTCAGCCACATCATCTAAAGACTGGTAAGCTGCAACATATTTTGTCTTTGTGTTTATCTATGCTTTAATTACTGCTCTTTCCCTTTTTTTTGGACCTGTAGGGGGGTCAGTGGGAAAGAAGTAAGTAGAGGAAGCTGCAGAAGGACTGAGCATGCCCAAAACTCTAAAATGAGATAATGTGCATTTGGTATTTTTATAGTCATGTACTATTTTTTTTATTGTTCAGGAACAGCTGAAATGCTACAGGCTCATCCTGTCCATTTTCCAACATCCTTCTCATGAATTAGTTGCTCCATACATCTGTGACTTGGCTCCACGTGTGGTTCGTCACTTGAGCCATGCAGATAGCAGAAAGCCTCAAAGTCAACCTGAGCTTCAGGTCCTGCAGGAGGGGATTCGATTACTGCAGGCACTTATTACTGCCAGCGAGGAATGGAACCGTAAGCATTATAAGCTGAAATTTTGTGCATCTTTTACATGGACAAAAACTGATGTTTGAGGGTATTTGCACAGTTGTTGAGTTCATCTACATTTAGGGTTTGGCCCTCCAACATACATGCCTGGGGAAAGTGCACACAAAATGCATGATGAGATGTGTATTTATATTCGTACATGGACATATATATCATGTTTTATACACATAAATGTATGCATTTACATACACAATAAAATTTAGCAAAATTGTGCCCATTTGGGGACATGAGGGATCAGGGATGTCGTGAAATCTTTCATGCATGTAGCAGAGCTCATCATTTCAAATCCACGGTGAAGGGAAACACCACTGAAGGTCAGGGATCATCTCTCCAAGATAAATTTTTTGCAAAGCTCTAAAAGCTTTTATAACGTATTAAAGCAGAACTAAAACCATCATTTTATTGGTTTCAATAAACAGGTAGATTCACAGCATGCCGGGAATGCTAACTGTCACATTTAATTGTGCTCTCAGTCAAACTGTCAAACCATCAAATGGCTGGTGTCATAACTGACCACATGTGCAGCACCATGGTAGTTGCAGATCAAACAGAGGCTAAGATGCCAGCTTCCTTTGCTGAAAGGGACAGGAGGGTTTAGTTCTGATTTCAAGCAGAACTAAACCCTCCTATCATTTTCAGCCAAGGAAGCTGCCATCTTGGCCTCCGTTTCATCTACAGCTGCCATGGTGCTGCACATGTGGTCAGTTATGACACCAGCCATTTGATGGTTCGACAGTTTGGTCAAGAGCACAGGCAAATGTAACTGTTATTCCTGTAACTGTTTTCTGAAACCGTTAAATTGATGAGTTTAGTTCCGCTTTAAGTTCATTAACAAACCTGGGCACATCGGGTGCGACTTGGCATACAATTTGTAGATTTTCAGTGATTTTTTGCAATTTGCACTGCAATTTCCATTATATTCTATGTATGTGAAATCGCAACAAAACTGCAGAAAAGTAATGCAAGAACTGCTTTAGAAATTGCACTGCAGCAAATTGCAGATGTTAAGACACTGACATTCACATTCATTAGATGCAATTTCCATTCTGAAATCGCATCGATATGACCGGGCACTTAAATCACAAAAGCGTTATCTAAAGGCTGAAAGACTACCTAACATGATTTGTTTATTTTCTCTGGATATAAACTGCTTCAAGGAAAGCCAAGGCTCCTCAGGGTGACCTGTGCATAGGCTTTCCACTGATATTGCACGTTCTATACCCTGAGAGATCCTCTGCACAGAACCAGTAAGTTAATATGTGAAATACAGTATTTCAGCAACTGACTTTGAAGGTGTCCTTTGTTGGCAGTGGTCCTCACCTGCTGGAATCTAGATTGGACAGACTATCCACAAATATGCCATTTTTGTATGCCCCTGGCATAGATATCTTGGCCCTATATCTGCTTTTTTAAACCAGGGTGCCTTCAGATTTCTTCAAGTGTGCCTTGGCAAAATGCTTAAAAATTGCCCAAAAAGTGTTTAGCAACCAGCAAGGTGGATCAAACCTGTCTTTTAGTTACACAAAGTCCCAGGTTTTCATTGTGCACTATTACAACCCTCCAGCCACTGGCGTGCTCTCAGCCAATGGTTGATAAGGAGGATGTTGGGTGCCTGCACAGCATCCTTGTTTGCCCCTCCCCTGCCCCTCTTTGTCAGCACTGGGGGGGCACATTAGCTGATTTAGGGAGGGAAACATTGCAGTACTAATATTTAACCAGTGTGCAAAGGTGTATTTGCTTTGGAAATAAATCACGTTGGGTGTCTTACTTTGCATCAACTACTGTACATGTGTGGATGTTGCTGAGTTACATATAACTATTAGTTTAGTTTTTTACATATTAGAATGGGGTGCCTCGAGATTGTGCATAATTTTAAAGGGTGCCTTAACTGATAAAAGGTTGAGCAACACTGCCCTACATGATCATATCTGCAATAGAATATGCCTGGTTCCTATATTTATTTATTTTTTTTCAGCTAGTGAAGTGTATCCAATCAGGATAGTTCTGTACAACCAACACAAACCATATTAATTCTTAAAATAATTCTAATGCACCACCTCCTTCACTAAGCTCTGAAATATTAAGTAATTTGGAAAATGCCCTACTCTCATATGTTGTATCCTATACATATTTATGTTAATAAATGTGACACTACGCTTCATCATATTTGCTTTGGGATATATTTCGTATTTGACAGGATGTTGTCCTCTGTACATTCAACAAACTGTAATACTGCTTCCTACTGGAGAATGGACACTAGAAAACAAAGCTGTTGGCCAGATATAACCTTTCCTACCATCATCATGCTATGGTTTTATGCTAGTGTAATAGAAGAATGGATGCTTTCTCTCTGTGAGCAAAGCAAACCCTTCACACTAGACTTTTTACCTGCTTTATCAAGATCCTTTTTTCATCAGTCAAGCTTCCTTCCTGCAGATCCAGAGAGCTAATTTCTTTAAATTTTCTGGATAGGCTGGACCTCGACAAAACCCTGGAGACTGTACCTGGACCCTGCCATGCTGGAGATGCGAGACCAGCCTGTAGTGTGACCCTAAGGCACTGAGCTATGATTGGAGTGCACTCGAGAAACCTGGTGTATTATGTGAGTCAACTGCAGTGTGCTTTACAGGTCAAAAGACTCCTTCGTGAGTATTCCCACTAAAGGGGACAAAGACTTTCTGGATGGAGCAGGTTCCCTGGCTCTTACTCTAACACTCTTAAACTTAGCTGTCTTTGGGGCCATAGGCACTTTCCAGACCACTGCTGGGTAAGTCATAGGGCCTTGCCTTTTCAGGGCCTGGCGTGTGCGCTTCTGCCTCATGTTGCATCACCACAGAGGTTAATACTTGGAGCTCCAGCTGTGGCACTTCATGTGTTACAGGGTCTGAGCAGGAAGCAGGTGCTGTACCACTTTTGGTTTTGTTGTCTTGTGCCCGCTTTACTGAGCCTGCACTGCTTTCTTCTTGAATCACCGTTAAATTGTATGCGCCACACTCCTTCTTACTTTGCATCTGCGGCACTGGACAGTTCCATGTGCTTGACACCCAGGAGCAGGTTATATCTAACAAATGCAGCCCTGGAGTTGGGGAAGCTTTTCCTTCTGTTGTTCTGGAGTATTTTTGCAATGGATGCCAACTCGACAGCCTGGAAAGGCATTCTGTGCAGGGAACCTTTTTTTGTCAGAGGGATTTCACAATCTGGTTGCTATTCAGTGATGGACCTTTTGATTGTACGGTCATCTCAGCCAGATTTGGTTTGACATTGCCACAGTGGTAGCATATATCAAGCATCTCACGGCTCAAAGAGAGCCCAATCAGATTCTGAGCTTCACATTCCAGCCCTGTCCACTATGCACATTCCAGATTCAACAACATACTGAGCAGGTTTGACTACAGTTCCAAAGGGACCCTATAGCCATAGCAGTGGATGCTCTGGCGACTTTTGTGGTATTAGTTCAGCCTGACCTACTCCTTTTCCCCCTCTGCAGTTCCTTTCTTGTCCACTTCACAGAACTGAGACGGAGGGCATCCTGGTGATACTCATCAGACTCCTGGCGGATTCCCTGTGGGCTTTCTTTGGTTTCCTGAATTGCCCCAAGGAGTGGTTTTCCACCCTGCGTCACAGTCGCCAGCTTCATTAGCTGTTGAAGAGCTGGTCTTAATAGATAGAAAACTGTCTTATTGCTTTATTCCTACACTCTTAAAAGCTAGGAAATGTAACTCTTGCAAGATCTATCTTCGAACCTAGAATATGTATTTCACATGGTGCGAGGCTAGGAAATTCAATCCCAGGAACTACTGCTTGAGTTTTTGAGTTAGCGGCCTTGTCTTTTAAGGAACATTTTTTTAGTGCTACACAGGAAGAAGGTTGTCATGAGGCTCTGGGTCTTATTTCTCCCTTTTCCCTTAACTGGCACATTGTGCTTCCATCTCCCTGTCCTGCACTGGTACATAAGAAAATATTCTCTATTGTTTTGGTGTGGTGCAAGCTATTCAAGTTTATCTCTCTGCTGTGGCTTCCTTCTAACAGATTGACTGTCTTTCATCATTTCTGAGGGTCCCTATAATGGAACAACCTCCTTCTCTTCCAACTAATGCTAGGTGGCTTAGGCAGCTCATCATTCAAGCCTATAAGCCTAAGGATAAAATTCCACCTTTTTCCATTAAGGCACACTTCAGTAGTTCAGTGAGCGCCACTTGGGCTTTTCAGTATCACGCATCTTTTTCTAAGATTTGCAAGGCTGCCATCTTGTGCCAAGTGCTACCAAGTGGACGTTCAGGCCTATTCTGATGCCAAATTTGGATTTAAGGCTCTTTTGACAGCCCTTTAAGCTTCAGGCTGCTCCAGTTGTACACAGTTGACTTGGAGGACTTGCTAGCATTTCTCTTTCTGAATTGCCTGGCCCTCAGTTGCTTTTAAGTTCTCGCTTGACTTTTTGTCTCAGAATTAACCCTGTCTAGTAATGAAAAAAAAATAAAATCGGATTTTTAAACTTGCCTTAAAACTTTTTTTTTTTTCTTTTGGAGTTCATTAGGGGATTCAGTTTCCACCCCCTATCTAGTATATGATCCACTCCTAATACTGCTTTTAAACAAAACTGAAGCATGATGGAAGTGGGAGGGGGTTATATCTCCCTGGCTAACATACACTATATTGCCAAAAGTATTGGGACACCCCTCTAAATCATTGGATTCAGGTGTTCCACTCACCTCCATGGCCACAGGTGTATAAAATCATGCACCTAGGCATGCAGACTGCTTCTACAAACATTTGTGAAAGATTGGGTCACTCTCAGGAGCTCAGTGAATCCAAGCGTGGTACCTTGATAGATTGCCACCCCGTGCAATCAGTCCATATGTGAAATTTCCTTGCTACTAAATATTCCACAGTCAACTGTTAGGGGTATTCTAACAAAGTGGAAGCAACTGGGAACAACAGCAATTCATGCCACGAAGTTGTAGGCCATGTAAAATGACAGAGCGGGGTCAGCGAATGCTGAAGCGTACTGTGCACAGAAGTCAAAAGCTGTCTGCAGTCAATAACTAAAGACCTCCAAACTTCATGTGGTCTTCAGATTAGCACCATAACAGTGTGTAGAGAGCTTCATAGAATGGGTTTCCATGGCCGAGCAGCTGCATCCAAGCCTTACATCACCAAGTGCAATGCAAAGTGTTGGATGCAGTGGTGTAAAGCACTCCCCCACTGGACTCTAGAGCAGCGGAGACGTGCTCTCTGTAGTGACGAATCACGCTTCTCTAGCAATCCAATGGATGTGTCTGGGCTTTTCGGTTGCCAGGAGAACAGTACTTACCTGACTGCATCGTGCCAAGTGTAAGGTTTGGTGGAGGGGGGATTATGGTATGGGGTTGTTTTTCACGGGTTGGGCTTGGCCCCTTAGTTCCAGTGAATGGAACTCTTAAGGCGTCAGCATACCAAGATATTTTGGACAATTTCAAGCTTCTAACTTTATGGGAACAGTTTGGGGATGGTCCCTTCCTGTTTCAACATGACTGCACACCAGTGCACAAAGCAAGGTCCATAAGAACATGGATGAGCGAGTTTGGGGTGGGGGAACTTGATTGGCCTGCACAGAGTCCTCACCTGAACCCGATAGAACATCTTTGGGATGAATTAGAGCAGAGACTGCGAGCCAGGCCTTCTCTTCTAACATCAGAGCCTGACCTCACAAATGCGCTTCTGGAACAATGATCAAACATTCCCATAGACATCCTCCTAAACCTTGTGGACAGCCTTCCTAGAAGAGTTGAAGCTGCTATAACTGCAAAGGGTGGGCCAACTCAATATTGAACACCATGGACTAAGACTGGGATGCCATTAAAGTTCATGTGCCTGTAAAGGCAGACATCCCTATACTTTTGGCAATATAGTGTATTTGCTAGTGTCCAATCTCTTGAAGGAAGCAGTATAGTCCTCTTGTCTCAGAGTTAATGAACTGATGAGTTAATGATCTCAATGAATGCCAAGAAAATTATTTTATGGTACAAATTCTGTTTTTCAGCAGTGTGTAAGACTTACAGACAGAAATCTTATTTGTACTCTACTACTTTTCTCTAAGCGGTCATTTGCAGGGAGAAAGAATGAAGCAGATATTACAAAAATGTAATTACAGAACACAGCTAGTTATGTGATATAGACTTACATAAGGCATGCAAGTGATAAGGTAAACCAAGAAATGTAATCCTGCCAGAAGTGTAGATTTCTTATTTCTAGTCCAATTCCTATTTCTGCTAATCACAGCCAGGTGTTTAAAGGCCAGTATTACTATATTTTGTGCATTTTGTCATTTTGTGCATCAGTCAGAATCTTGGGGCACTTTTCAAACAATGGGTGGCAGAGCAATATTGTGTTGTGCCTGCACATACCTTCAGCAGCTGTCATTCACCTCTGCTATGGACAAATGCCAACCATTCTTTGTGGACAAAGCTGTTAGTGACGAAGCTTCTCTGCCCCTTCCTGCCTTGAATATATTCCTACTCTGTGGAAAGGTATTCCTATTGGTCACTGTCAGTCATATTTATGGACCAACAGGAATATATGCATGTGCTCAACCCAGAAGTGTTAGTGCTTTGCATATTCAGAACAGCCAGCATAGCCACAACAGAGGTGAAGAAGCACGGCTGCAGATATTTGCTGGCACCTCCAAGTTCCTGCACTTTATATCTGCCATTAGCGATCTTTTTTTTTTCTTTTGTTTTGACAAAGTCATTCTACAGTGAGACAAAGTAATTGCATTGTCACTGAGATATCACTCTATTAGCTAATTTAAGTTTTATATATTTTAAAATGACAAAATATGGAAGATAAAACTTTTAAAAATGTGAAAGTCCTTTAAAAATAAGTTTATGGGGTGGCATGGCAATGATAGCTCAAAATAATAACTGAAAATATACCATACTTTTCTTTTAATCATTACTTGTTCTTCATATTATATATCATGAAAAAAAGAAGCGTAAAGCTGGCCATGGGTCATTCACTGTTTTTCAATCAGCCAGAGGTCTGATCAAAAAAACTGAACAGGTTTCCCATCTACAAACACGAGGCTGATAGGGGAATCCTTTCATTAGATCGACTTCTGTGGAGCGAATGGCCATAGATGGATCAAAATTTGGCTGGTTCCTTCTAAACCAGCCAAATTTCAGTCCGTTTATGGCCAGCTTTAAGCTTGTCCATAGATGGGTAGTTGATTTTTGTTCATTCAGCGGGCTGAAGAAAAAAAAAACCTAATAGATTTTCTCTATCCACACAAGTCAGGTGGATGGAGAAATATCCCTCCCCCCCTTCCTTTTTGGAACATCGTCTTCTGACAGCAGGACTCACCGCTGGCAGAATACACTGATCAGTGGCTGTAGCTGCTGATTAGCATTCGATCGGTTCCTGCTGAACCAGCGAAATTTCGATCTGCCTATGGCCAAATTAAGTGTGCAATGCCAGTGGCTGCAAAAACTGTAGAAATAGCATGACTTATGACTGTCCCTATAAATACTCCAAAGACATGCTGGTAGGTGAATTGGCTCCTGTCTAAATTGGCCCTAGTATGTGTATGTATGAATGTGAGTTAGGGACCTTAGATTGTATGCCCCTTGAGGGTTAGGAACTAATGTGAATGTACATATATATATATATATATATATATATATATATATATATATATATATATATATATAAAGCACTGCGTAAATTGACAGCGCTATACAAGTACCTGAAATAAATAAATGTGAATTTTTTTTTTATTATGTTAGTAATAAACTGTCATGTGATCTGCTTTTCCATACAGGTCCTCCTATGTTGTCCATGGTGTTCCATCTTTTCATTTCATTTCTGTTAGATGAGAATGCATTTGGCTCTGCATCTCCATATTCCAAGGCTCTTCATGACTTTGGCTTACACGGGTTAACACAGTTTGGTGCTAGTTACCCTGCCCAGTTTCGTCAGCTCATGGGCTCTTCTACAGCACTACGGTCTCGCATAGAAGCTGCTCTTCGGGGTAATCAAGAAAGCCTCAAACCTAAAGTGTCTTCCCGCATTGTTAAGGGAGGAGGACAAGGCTCCCCAAGCATTCAGCTGAAGACAAACTTCTTGTAAAATTAACATACATGCTGCTTTCACGGTTGAGTAGTTCTAGTTTCCCTGCAGGATCAATGCTTACTTAGTTCCTTTGATATCATAAGTGCCTGCAGAAGATTGACAACTTAGAATGCAGGTTTAACAACAAACAGATTGAAGGATTTCTAGAATATGCCACAGTAATACTCTGTCAGTCTTAACCCATATGCCTTAACAAATTGTTTGTCAAGAATATTAACAGACACTTGATTACCTGAGTATTGTTACATTTCTTGCGCCACAAAGAAACTTGATCTTCTAGAAAAGTCTCAAGACCTGCTGACTGTGAATGTGGAAGAAATGTAGTCATTAATAATGATTTTGTAGGATGTACAAGCAAATGTAAAAAAAAAAAAAGGCACATTTTTAGACCTCAGTAATTTGTTTAAACAAAAATGTTTCTAAAACGTTTCCTTGCGGTTCAGAAACAGAAAATTTTTCTTTAAGACGTTTATAAATACAAGCATACCTTGGTTCTTCGGGACTTTTCGTAAAGCAAACAATTCATAAACTGAGATGCCATTTCCCATAGGAATGCATTGAAAACCAATGAATCCGTTCCGGAGGTCAGAAAAAATTAGTTATTTTAGGTTATGTGGTATTTTAGTAGTGACAACCATGTGTTAATGTATCAGCTCTCAGCGGGGTTCTCCACTGATAGCTGAATGTAAAAGAATTGCTGGCAATTAAAAAAATAAACGGCGTGGGGTCCCCCCTCCCATCCATACCAAGCTCTTCCGGTCTGATATGGATTTTGAGAGGAACTCTCATGGCAAAATTTGGCAAATTTTGAAAGAAATGGCATGAGGTCACCCCCAAAATCCATACAAGACCCTTATCCGAGCATGCAGCTCAGCAGGTCAGGAAAGGGCGGGGGGGAACGAGCAAGCACCGCTCCCCCCCCCCCCCCACCACCACCTGAACCATGCCAGGCCACATGCCCTCAACATGTGGGGGGGGGGGGGCACCCAGGGACATCACCCAAGTTACCCCGCCCCATGTGACATTGATGTCACATGCAGTGGGGTCACATGCATGATGTCCCTAGGTGGCCCCGCCCCTTATATATTTAAGAACTGTAAAACCACCGGAGCAGGCAGACGGCTGGGGCCATCGTTGGAAGCTGAGCCTTTTTATCTATTCTTTTTTCGGGTCGGTGGCGGAAATTGTGATTGACGTTGTATCTATTGCGGGGGACATTCTTTTATTTTTTTCTTTTAATAAAGGGCTTGTCAAAGACTGTGTCCTGTCTTTTTTCACACTGCACTTTTTGTTTTTTGTGAATGAGCAGCGGTACCATGTACCCCATACCCATTCACTTGTTAAAGGGGGCTTGCAGATTCCGATAAGCCCCCTGCCCGCAGACCCCCACAACCACCAGCCAGGGTTGTGGGGAAGAGGCCCTTGTCCCCATCAACATAGAGACAAGGTTCTTTGGGGAGGGGGGAGCCCCCCCTGCCCCAAAGCACCCCCCCCCATGTTGAGGGCATGTTGCCTGGTATGGTTCAGGAGGGGGGGCACTCGCTCGCCCCCCCCCCTTTCCTGACCTGCCGGACTGCATGCTCAGATCTGGTATGGATTTTGTGGGGGACCCCCACGCCATTTTTTTTTTTTTTTTTTTTATTTTGGCATGGGAGTTCCCCTCAAAATCCATACCATACCCAAAGTGCTTGGTAGGGATGAGAGGGGGTACCCCACACCGTTTTTTAAATTTATTATGGTGCCGGTTTTTAAATGTAATTACCGCTTTTTTTTTTTCTTCACTATAGCTCAGAGATTCAGCTGTCACTTTCCCCCCTGGCTAAAAGAAAGTTTCCTTTTAGTTTATTTCTAGTTAAAAGGAACAATGTTTCCTTTTAGTTTCTTAACTCTGGGGAAAGTGACAGCTAATTCTGTGAGCTATAGTGAAGAAAAAAAAAAAAAGCCGGCAATTGCATTTAAAAATCAGCACTGACATACACTTTGTATTGCGAAAAAAAATTTGTAAACCAGGGCATTATTTTCAATGGATTTTCATTCGTAAACTGAAAATTACGTTAACCAAGGCGTTTGTAAACTGAGGTACACCTGTATGTCCTGTTTGTGATCCTTGGAGAAAAATCTGAGAAACACTGAGGTTGGTTTGCTAAATAGATACTTAGAAAAGTGAATGTTGACTGAGCTTAGTAAATAAGTTGAAACTGTGTTTACTTCAATCAACCAATTATTTGCCAGCAAAATCCTGTTTTTTTTTTCTAAATTACCTTGCACATGACTGGATATTTGTAGTGATCACAGGTTCATCTTATTTACTATTGTTCACTTTACAAAGTAAGCAACCTCTACTCTGTCAGTAAATCAGCTTGACTATCAATAGACTGTATTCGTTTTATGTAATCTGAGAAGATTATGGAAGGGTGGGTGACATTTATTAAATTTATGCTGAAAACCAGGTAGTTTTTGCATTGTTAAAATGTACATTTTTTAGAATTATTTACATTAGTCAGCAGTAACAGCATGTGGATATGTGTCAAATTGTCTGTCAGAAAAAATGTACATTGCACAAAAATGACCTGGTTTTTATCTACTTTGGTTTAACAAATGCCCCTATGTTTGCAGTGATTTTTTTTGTTATGCTGTTCTTCCTGTTAATCAAAATTGTGCCTCTCTTATATTGCACTGTGTAGCAATTTTATGTATGTAAAGTTTAACTAATCAGATAATTAGAATAGTTAGGGTGCTGCAGGATGTACCATGAATTAATTATTTACTAGTGATGTAATGAAGAATATCTTGCAGATCTTCTGTCTTGCACTGCTGCTTCAATTACTGTTTCAAGTTTTAACACGTTTCCTTTGTTTTCTGTCAAATGCACTACTCTCCTATGACATCTTGGTATCTACCAGATTAATACTAGGAAAAATCATTTTACTTTAAAAATGTCATTGAGTATCAATACCTTGTCACAGATGTTACCCAGGTAGACAGTATTCCTACAGTATATCTATATTACATCTCTGAGAACCGGTCCTTAACCTATGGAGCATGTAATATTGATGTGGATATGATATATTTTACTAGATCCCTGCTTTTCAATTTATAGAAACTCTGTTTCTCTTATTGTGCTATTTAATATAGTAGGAACAGTCCCTATTAAATTCTTTGTTTGCACAAAAAACATAAAATTTGTGCTAGGACATATAGGGGAGTATTTTTTTTTTCTAAGCACAAACCAGTATGTAAAAGATGATATTCCTCTGGCTGCAGTCAACCCATTTATTAAGGACCTAATTTGCACTAGTTGCAAATTTGATCTACTGGTAGTTATGTTTCAGATAACTCATCCTTCTGTCTAGATCTGCCAGATGCATCTGGACTACCTTTTCATGAGAGACCATCTTTTTCCATTGTCCCTTGAGGGAATTCAGGAACAAAAGTTGGGTTATACAGCTTTAAAACAAGGGGTTGGGACACTGGCAAGTAGAAAAGTTGTGGGATAGCATCTTAGAAAGTTAAACATCTTTTTCTCAATTGTACTGAAAAAGTCTACAGCTTTATCATGCAGTTCAGGACACAAGAATTGATTCATAGACCATGGACTATCTTCTGCTTTGCTGGGTCCGCCCACTAGTGTTGGCATATAACCCTGCCCACTCCTTTTCAGTTTTTTGGGTTTTTTTTGCCAGTGTCCTTAGGTGATGGATGCCTTTTTGTTTTTGGAGAACTTTTTTCTACAAACATTTCACCAAATTAACTACCACCTTTGACTGACACTTCTGTCAAGATGTGACTGCTTACTGCCTTAGCTCATTAGCAGTTTCTGGATTGGTGACCCTTGAGCACACCTTGGGAATTGTACCCAAGCTCTGCAAATCGGGTTCTGAGGCCTATACGCACCTAGAGTTATGCACTTTTCCTTTGAGCAGAGACACTGCCTGCTTAGTCACTACTGTTGCTTATTCAGCAAGGTATTTTTACTGTTAACAGAGTTTTTTAGGCTAATTGGTGTTCTTATTTTGTTCCTTTTGTGCTTTTTGGTCCTTTTATGACTGTTTAGCTATCTTGTTGACCACCCCTTGATTATTCCATGGCTTATAAATCCATCACTGTGATCTGCGCTGTACGATAAAGATAAGAGGAATATTGACATACCTATATATTTCAAATTTTGGAGTAGTGTACAGTACAGCACATATGTCTATTGCTTGCTGACAGAGCTGGAGCACCACAGAGTGGGCTGGGTTATATGAGGACACTAGGGGGCAGATCCAGCACTGCTTTCGTCAGTGTCCAATCGCCTGAAGATAGCGGCATATAACCCATGGTATATGAATTGATTTCTGTGTCCTGTACTGTACTCAAAGATATGCAATTTGCAAGTACGTCAAAATTCCTTGTTTTTTTTTTTTGTTTTTTTTTTTTTAGCCTCCTCAATTTATTATGCACTTCATCAATACGGTTAGTCTGTAGCTGTAGAAGCCCTAAAAGACCCAGGGCCTAGAACAGCAAAGACCTTCTCACTACACTCGCTCTTTGAGTCATTTTTCTCCTTGGAAACACCCTGAGGCCTGATCCCCCAGCTAAGATTGTGGTGAAAAATTTCATTTTTGAGAAGTGATTCATAAACAAGTGGTCTGTGCCCACTGTGCATGCACTATTGATCCATGTTAATAGAAACACCACTAAAAGGGATGAAGGTGTGTCCACCTTTCAGAGTATCACTGACAAACAGTTGAGACTGCTTAAGTCCCAGTTTGAATTAGCTGGTTTGGCCCTCTGCCCTGATCTAGCAGTAACCCTGATCTGTCAAACCATGTGAGAATGGGCAGAATTCCTTGAAGAGGAATTTTTTAAGAGGGGCTGGAGTAACATGTCTGGAGCCTTGTGCTTTAGTAGTGACAGACCATTACAAGCCTCAGAACTTGTGTCTCAAATGGGACTGATGTCTGCGCAATGTGTAGTGCACTCTGGTTGTGATATACTGCTACAGGGTGGCCGCT